TAATCCAACCAATCGCAATAAAATAACTCAACCGAAGTAAAGACAGCGCCATCTATGGGACCGGAGAATCATGACACTTTCGGTTCTGCTCATTTTAAGTGGGTTACAAATGGCTGATTTTCTATGTATAACTTATTCTTAAAACAAATAAATAACATGGACTCTCTCAATGTTGAACTCTCGGACAACAGCACATTTAAAGTACATTGGTTGTCCTACATAACAAAAGCACATTACAGATGAACAGTCAAAAGTTTGGTGTGGTAAAATGCAACATTTCTATTCCCAGCGGATCAGTAACAACTCTTTGCCCAGACCTGCTAATGATCCCAGACTGAGTGGTAGGTTGTAATGCAGGAAGCAGAGCTGCTCAGTGTCATCTCCAGTGAGAGAGCTCCTTTTCCCATCATAAATTTTTAAAGAGACATTATTGCTGTTTTATCGGTGGATTTTCCACCGATGCGGTACATTTGGGGAACCTTAATACTGGCCTATTGTATCGGCAAAGTGATATTTCAGTCCTGCGCTACATCTCCGGGCATGTACGGGCACACTGCGGGCAATTTGGGCTGAGGGAGGAAACCGGAGTGGCTGGAGAAAAGCAGGGGAGGACATGCAGAGTCCACGCACACTCAGGAGGGAGCAAGATCCCTTACCTTCAATTTTCCTGCCTGTTTGGTTACAAATGAAAAAAGCATCTACAGTGTACAAATACCCTGCGAATCCTACAGTAGGATTAGACCAAATACAAATATGCAAACATTCTGAATATCATATGGAGAACAAATACAGCTCTGGAAATAATTACAAGGTCACTCTATATTTTTACACAAATCTTCATCTTTAAATCCTGATTCAATCCTGGTTTAATCCTGGTTTAATCCTGGTTTAATCCTGGTTCAATCCTGGTTCAATCCTGGTTCTGCTAGGCAAAAGGCTACACTGAGCAGCAGGATGATTTCATGTTCAAATTTTTCTAAGACATCAGCAAGAACAAAGTGAAGCAGGAGAATACTGCCAATAATCAAAACTAGTCAGGTAGAGGGCAGAAGCAGAGATGACCGTCACCTAATCGGGCAGTGCCTCATAAATCGGGGGATGACCTCAAGTGACCTTCAGAAAGAAGGGAAACATTAAGTGGTGTGAAGTGCACTGCTAGGACGGTTCGTAACGGACTCCTAAAAGCAGGACTGAAGACCCATAAAGCAAGGAAGAAGCCCTTCATCAATGAGAAGCAGGGAAGAACCAGGGTGTAGTTTGCAAAAAAAAATGTATATTTTACCCAGGCATACCCATAAAGTGTGAAATGAGTGAAAGTGAAAATTTTGCTGTGGTCTCTTAGTTTTTTCCAGAGCTGTGTATTCAAGGGTACCATAACTTTAAGAAGACTTTGATGTGAGTTTTGGAGCTCAGTGCTATGTTTAGTACTGTTGACTATCACCAAAACAGATAACATTTCTCATATTACGGAATGTGTGTAGTGCTACATTTAGGTTACTATTGACTGTCACAGCTTACTAGCCCCTTGCTAACGAGAATAGATTACTGAAGGTGCCTTCATCTGTGGTTAGTACTTGGCTGAAGCTAACTCTTGTTTTTAATCTGTAACTATTTAGCACAAACCTGCTTCCTGTAGGTGTAGCCATGGATATCTCCCTTATCCCTTTGAAATCTGGGTTTGAGCAACACCCAGGACGTCTTGGTGATGCTGCCAGATACTGGCCTCGGCCCGCTTGGGAAAGATGGGGCATAACAGGGTGGATCTCGCCATGACAGTAACTGAGATCAAAAGTCACTCAGTGGGCTCTGTTTCTCACTTGCACAAAGCGCGACGCAAAGTGGGTTTGCTAGTTTCATTCCGGCACGTTGCTCATTTTCACGGCATGCGCCGCGTGATTTCGCCTGCTCTCTGCTTGTATGAGTGGCGTTTTTCCAATGAGGCGTGGCCGGGCGCATTGTCGCCGTGTTGCTATTTTAAGACAACGCAAAATGGTTGAGTGTTTGACCAACAAAAACCATGTCAAAAGTCAATGGCGCATTACTTAGCGATATTTAAGCGGCGCGTTTTAGAAACGTGTAGGTGCGCGAGGCTCATAATTGACAAAGATATGTGCTTGAAGTGCACTGTTGGAATTGTTTTTTGATCTCATTTATATATGTTTTACTATAGAGTACTTGATGTAATCATACTGCTCAATGAAACACCAAAAGAAAAACAAAATTAAGTAAAGAGCTAACCATATCATAAAAAAATCTTTCAAGTTCATTATCAGAATTAAGCATGTATTGTAATTGAAAGGACATTTGGATTACTGAAAATGCGTTTCAGATATTTAGATAAGTCCGGGGGAACATTACAATACAGCCTTCGAAAGGTTGTGGCATTCTTTGTGACATGTTGTGCAACATTGCCATGCATGATGGACGTATGTTGGACATAAATTAGCACACATTAGAGGAATTTAGAAGGCGTGATGCTGAACAGCATATGCCGACGCCAAGAAAGGAGTGAACACCGGCAACCGCACAGGCAAGGGAAGATCAGCTGGCAGAACGGCTGAATCGTTTGTAACCGCCCTATTGCCTTTTAATGAAACATTTTAAAACCTGTAAACTTTATAAATTGTAGGTTGTGTTTTGCTTGAACAAAGATTGCACTTTTATTTATATTTTCGACATTTTGTATTCACAATGGCTTCTACACTACGGAGGTATATATTGGACTTTCTTTTTTGTACCCCACAGATGACAATCCACAAATATTTCACTATCTACAGAAATGTATTTTTTAAATTTGTGTTGTGTAAAATTATATCCACAAAAATATGGAGCTACTTCTATGCGTGAGATGTATTTTGCAAATTTGTGGATCACGTCCTCTCTATTTGTGGGTCCCGCTGCATTTGTTACTTTGCTCCTATTTATTTGTGGATTTTTGTATTTTTAGTTGTGTTATATGAAATCATATCCACAAAAATATTGAGCGATTTGTATACCTGAAATGGGTTTTGCACATTGGTCCCCTGTAGATAGTGAAATATATGTGGATCATGGTACATATTTGTGGATTGTTGTCTGTGGGCTACGAATAATAAAGTCTAATAAAAACTTCCATACTACACATTCTGTTAAGCCTCATAGAAATAAAAAATCATGGTGTTTATGTTATCAATCAACCCATCCTTCCATTCGTCTGTCTGTATATCTGTCTATCCAATTCTAGTCTCATCGTAATAGCATGATTTATCATTTCTATCATCCATCCACCCATCCATCCATCCATCCATCCACCCATACATGCATCAACATTCCTGTGACTATGCCACAGTGAGAACTGGGCGGCCTCCATGTTCGCTGCTGTGCTATGAGTGGATGGTGTTGCAGGCAGAGTTACGCAGCCCCTGTGATGGAAGCCCCTCAGGATGGAAGGGCTGATGTGGCTGGATGCTGCCATCTGCTCAGAAACATGTGTTTGGCGAGACCCAGCGCCCCCCCCATGCTGGTGATTACAGTTCATTGATAAATAACGTAGAACGCCCACTCCGGTGCTAGCCTGTGGAGCAGAGGTCCGACCAGCGCGTCATCTGGACGCCACCTGCATCCAATTTGTGTCGTTCCCCCGGATACAGCGTCCCTAACTGTCATCGGGCCACACACTTGATAGGTGCTCTGCATCCTGATTGGCCGGAAATTCACCTTTATCTAAATTCACTGAATTTCATTGCCGCTAGTTGCAAAAGTCTTGAGCAGAAAGACCACAGAGACTTCATTTGCCAATTTATCGCTAGTTTGTTGTGTTGTGATTTATTAATTAGTTGTTCTGCTGCGGCTAGCCTGTTATACACTGCCTAACCCGGGCTCCATCCCAGGGCCCCACATCAGGATTTTTGAATAATTTCTTTTTTGGTTGTTACAGCAGGATTTTTTGCTGTAGACAGGGCCTCAACCCCCCTAAATTTTGTCCTGAATGTGATTGTAGTCTTTTAGCATTTGGATTGTCACTGTTGTCCACAGGGCTACTAATTGGCTGAGGATCATGGAGAGGAGCAGTGAGGCTGCCAAACGAACCTGAAGCCTGTTTATCAGCTAACGCGCATGCAGCCCTGCTGCGCAGCTGCCCCGTCGCAGCCCTGCTGCGCAGCTGCCCCGTCGCCCTTCGGCTTCTGTGAAGTGGCCTCTCATGGGCCCTGGCCTTCCCTTTCTCTCCTCTGTCATCCCTCACTTTCTCTGCTGACAGGAGGGAAACCTGCCAGGAGCAGGAAGTGGGACAGGGGGGTCATGAAGTCGGCCAGTAGAAGGACATCATGGAAAGGTGGGGGGTGCGGGGGGGGGGGGGATGCATGTCAGAAATCTGTGGAAATGATCAGAGCCCCACATCTCTCTCTCTAGGTTATCAAAAAGCAAAAAAAGGGCAGGACCCTCGTGTTTGAGATGAGTCCACCAATGACCTAAAGTCAGGCGTCCTCGTCATATGTCACAGTTTTGGAAATTTGCTCTTTACTCAAGATTCCTTGTGCTTTTTTCATAGAGTCCATGGAAAGTTATTGATGAAACCACATGACAAGTGTTTTTTTTTTTATCAGTTTATCTCTTTGCTTTAGGTCAGTGGTTCTCAGTCCTGTTCCTTGTGCCCCCCCCCCCCACACTGCTTTCATCCTGCCAGGAACAGGACTGAGAACCACTGCCTTATGAGAACACCTTTGGGATTCTGGTTCTGTCTGTTAGAATCTGGAAAAGACTTTTACTTTAGTGAAATAGAAACAATGAAAGGGATTGTAATGGTAGCCATTTTAGTTAGTCCTACTGAGGAAAGATGTGTATTTACCAAAATTGCTTTTTTTGGCTGCCTGCTTTCTGAAGCCCTACCCAGTGTGAGATATTAAGGTTCTGCACTGGGGATCCTAGATCCACATATGCTTTGTCACGTTGTTCAGAAGTCAGGTCAGGTACCCGGGTCCTCCTCTATCAGGTTGCTCCACAATGACACCTACTGTTGGCAGGGTGCCTGCACATCTGCATGTGGAAGGGACAGTTCTCTCCCCCTGCTGTTACGTGGAGTGAGAAGAAAGACGGCTTCCAGCGGCGGTCTTCACCACTCAGTCAGTGTGGGTCCTCTGTGTCGAGGACAGACCTTCCAATCTGCAAGTAAATGGCAGCTCTGACTGGAATCGTACATCGGTGAGTCGTCAGCAGGGGTGTAGCTAGATGTTCTGATCCCCCCTATTCCTGGGACAACCTGCCATTTTCAGTTTTTTACTTGGCTGATCTGGTGCATTTGGATCAATTCATTTGTTAGAGGGGGAGTTGTAGGTTAGATTTGTTGAACATTGGTACATCATTATGATACAGTCAGTCATTTGATATTCATACCGGTTTATAATTTTAAAGAGCCCATGTAATATGCCCAGGTTTCCATGCCCTTACTGTGCCCCCGGATCACCAGGAAACTGGTGAATTGCTGTCCTAAAAAGAAGAAAGAAACACTGAGGTGGAACCACAGAAAGGAATTCTGTCGATGTGTTAGTTTAAAGGGAATAGTGTCACTATAGTGTTACAGACTGAAAGATGCCTTCTGGGTAGCAGCGTGGCACCTCTGAGGTTTGGGGCCCCCTGTTGGCCACAAACAGTCACTATGCTAAACATAAAATAAACACGTTCCTTATAGAGGAGATGCTGAAGCAGCACGTTCTGCTAACCAACTAGATAGTGATGATCTTCTGAGTTGACTTGCTAGCTATTTACTTTGTTTTTGGGAGTTAGGTGACATTTCGAGTGGGGCTCCAGAAACGAGAGACCCACATGGGATTGGGAGTCGCAGTGAGAGAGAAATGGGGGGGAGGTTTGATGGAAGGTGAAGCACAAGGGGCAACACATTGGGCATTGTTTCCTGTGGGGGGCTATAGGTCAGTGTGGGGTCAGGGTGTCTGTGATTGGTAATGTGATGCCGGGGAAGTGAGGGCCGCCCCCTTCCCATAGATTACACAGGTGGCACAGTAGAGTTAAGCTCCTTCTCATGGAGAGACGGAGTGCAACAAGCTACAAGGCAAATTGGAAAGAGAATTCCAGTTCTTTTCCAGCCAGACTGCGAGGTTGACAGAAATGGCGATTTGATGAACATATGGAAAATGATGCTATTGGCAGTGTGTATCACAGCGGGGTAGGGATCTGTGCCCATGTCCAGAAGGTCGTGGGATTGCATCCCATAGGTGGCAGGCCAAGGCCTTAACCCAGGGAGGCTGGCTGATTCTATCCTGACTCCAGGCTTTTCTCACTTTATGGGTCACTTTGGACAAAACTTTTTGCCAATTAAACAAACGAAAGTGTCTCTACTGGTCGATTCTAAAGAACCGTTCGTGCACAAGCATGTCAGAGTCCACACTGTCACCTCTACTGCTCTGCTGCTCTGTCTCTCTTCTGTGTTTCCTGGAACACTTGTTCAGGATTTAAGAATTTTTATCCACTCAGATATTGTCTTTGCATTTTCCTTTTCGACTTCCTCTGGCGATTGTATCTTGTCAAATATTTTAAAAATCATAATAAATCTTGAATAATAGCTAAATTGACTGAACATCTGGCTCAGAACCACAAAAATCAGTTCTTTATAGGTTTTCTCGTGCAACTTTTTTTTTATACTGTTTATTATTGCAAGTCATGCAGTAGTCAGACAGATTGGGATTACTGCTGCTATGGAAGATGAATGTAAGTTTTTCCTCTTTTTTTAACCTCTGGGTCAGTGTAAGAGATTGGTTTTGTTGCTGAGTAGGCGTAAGGGATGCTCAGTGGTAGACACGATTCCGACATGCATATTGACTCAGTGCATGGGAGGAGGAATTGTTATGGGCCTGTCTGGGAATTCTTTATATCTGTGTTGAGGGTTTAGGTGTTATGTGGAGTGTCTGTATGAACGGCGAGTCCCAGCATGGGCTACACGTCGCTGAGCAGTCAGAATGATAAAATGCGCCATATATCTGAGCAGTCTTTGTAACACAGGGCAGGGTAAGTCATATGGTTGGATGCATGGGATGGATGGAAAGCTGGCTATGTGAAACTTCACATAAAAATATGTTGATTATTAAAGGGAGTTGGGGTTATCCACAGTAAACCCTTAAGTGGAACATCTTGAACATTATTTAGCAAGTCGGAAAGTATATATTTAACAGTATTAATTGGAATGACTTCGCTGGAAACTTAGTGAAAGTGTTGAGACGTATTGTCGGCTGTTTGCAGAAATATAGCTCCGCATGAGTCTGCCGGGAATCGCATTCGTCGAAATGGCGCCAAAAGACGCCGGAAGCCTTCCTCAAAGCGATAGCCAGCCATCGGCACGCTGACCCTGAGCACACGTCTGGGGAGGAATGGAGCTGCTTTCCTTCTCACTTCTTCAGTTTCAGCAATAAGGGGCTTTGACAAAATAGCCAAGAAGGGATATTAGGGCTGTTACTCACGGAAATGGGGCCTTTTCCATTCCGCCTATCCAGCCTCTCAAGTTTCCAGCCCCCCCGCCCCTTTCTTTTTAACTTCTCTCTCAGAAGGAGACTTATGTGACCAATCGAGGCATCGTAAATGGCTGTAATAAAGGAACAGTCTTGTGGAGTTGGGGAGGAACAGAATGGCGGTACAGAGCCCACATGAGGAACGTGAGTTGGGGATTGTTGACGTTGCCGCAGAGCCATGTGGTTCGTCACAGGGGAGATGTTTGTCGGGATCCCCCATCTCGCCACTCAGGAACCTGGAAGGGCGTGCCACACGTTGAAATGATCTTGCTCTCCTTTGAGACATATACACACACATACACATACCCACACACACACACGTACACACACACGCACGTGGTTGAGAGTGAGCCATTTATCCAGCATCCTTGGAGTATTTTGGGGGTCAAGGGCCCAATGGAAATGTGACTATTCTGCTGAGGCCGGGGCTCGAACCAACAACCATCTGATCACAAACCCACTTAGGTATAGAGCCACACACTGCCCTGTTGTGGTCTCATTCGGCACAGCAGTAAACAGGAAGAGCGTACGCCCCCTGCTGACTCATCAGTTCTTGATATGGATCAGGTTCGTTTTGACATCACAAACCACCACCAAGAGTGGCAGCGAAACTCAATTCCTTTTGTAACTTCTGTTATTTTTGTCAAATAAAGGAGATTAAATAGGTTTCGTGTGCAAGAAACATGAAAACACAAAAGTCACCATAAAACGAAGTGACACCTTGAAGACCTTCAGAGGAATTACAGAACCTAGACGTCTGATCTCCATGAACCAAGACCCGCTGTGTGGAAATGCTTTCTGCCAGCTGTGATTCTCTGCGAGCTTCACATACCGTCGACAGCGCTCTTCCACGTAGCTGCCTCAGACTGTCAGATTTCATTCGCCCTTGAGGATACATGCATGCCATAAGATTCACAAAACGCCTTCCACTGACTCATTCTCTTGAGAACACAGCTTCAGTTGTCTACCTTTTTCATAATTTGTTCCTTTACATCTGCAGCTCTTCTCACTGATGTTTTACTTTTATTTATTTATTTTTGCATTTGTGTTGAAGTAGAGAAATTATACAAATTTGATTGCTCAGTGCTGCTTGATACAGCAGTGGATCAATGAAAGGTAGCCCTGAAATGTGACCATTGATATTGCGCACTAGGCAGGAGTGTACTTACTGATTCTGGGTCCCCTGAGTCGTTTTGCCCCCCCCCCCCCCCCCCCCCCCCCCTCCCCCCCCCCCCCCCCCCGCTCTCTGTATCTGTAACGTTTGCTGCGTCCCTATCAGGTGTTTCATTTCTTGTAGCGAAGAAATTGGTCAGCTTCTAATATTCTATCGGCGTGGATCTTGAGTGTAGTTCTGTTGTGTGTTAGCCTGAGGTGCAAGACAGCATGCGGTCAAGGGTTAAAGATGCTGGTCATTCAAACTCAGTGGCCGCAGTGAAAGGAAAAAGATGAGATTTTTTTTGCCAAAACCAGGTTTAGGCAGAAGAACCAATGCAATGGAACAAGAGCACTGTTCATTGGGAGTGGCTGCTTAACAAGAGGAGAGGTGTTGGTCCAGGTGTATGAGGGAGAGTTGGAGAGAGCTGGGAGTAGCGTGTGCATACTGCTTAGATATGGATGCTTCTGTGCATGTGTGAGCATGTGATCTGTGTCTTACAGCAGCTGCTTCTGTAAGGACCCCTTCCTAGACAATCTGAATGGACTAGCAATCAAAAGAAGGACTGCTAGTGCTTAGTGTTCTTCCACTGGGTGACCAGGGTATAGAGGTGGCCAAGATCGGCTCTGCAGTCATTCGGTTCTCGGCAAAGTGTGCTGGGGGTTCTGTCCATGCCAGATTGGATTCTCAAAATAGCGCTGATGCGTAATATGGAGCAGTGTCCTTATGAATCACAGTAACTGTTGTGATTACATTGTTGCATGTGGCTTGGAAGTTGGAAGAAAATGTGGTGTGTGTCATAATCAGAAGTGTGCTGGCCTGACATTAGCGTCATGTTTGGTTTTAGAAAGAATTATGGGAATAATAATTGCCACTGATTGGCATGGCAACCCCGTGCTGGTTGGGCGCGGCTTCAGGCCCTGTGCTTCCCAGTCCAAGATAAGTGGATGTATGGATATTTACTTCCAACCCAAAGGCTGGTACATTAAGAATCAAGTACCGGTAACTTTTTTTTGTAAGATTTTTAATCCTTTTGCTTTGGCTGTTTATTAACCTGTGTGTGCAAGACTTTAATTAATTTTACAGATTTTATTTTTTCATGTATTTGATTTGACATGATTGATTTGATTAATTTATTTTAATGTCTATAGTAGGGGAACGTGCGCACAACCTAACGTATTTTGGTTTTGGCTAAATGATTTTTAAAATAATTGAGTTAATCATATTTTTATACAAGCAACATCCAGATCTGTGCTACAAGTGAACACTTAAAGTTTGGTTGTAGAACCTACCGTTCTTGTACGATTGCACTGAAAGTGGCAGAAGTGAAATGTTACATCTTATCCCATGGACGGGTTTAATTGTAACGCTGGCTAGAAAAGTCAGAATGAGATAAACACAGTTCTATTTGTATGTTATAGGTGGGTATTGATTCTGGATCTATCTAAACGCATTCACGTGCCACAAAGCATTGTTGGGGAGCCAAAATCTTACATTGTAGTAACAGTCTAGCCTGAAAAACTGAACTTTGACACCTTGGGAATATTGTTCCTGACATCTTCATGGCAATAAATCGCTTTTAATTGAACTGAAAATGGTTGTTTTTATTTCATTATATTATACTAAGGGTGGCTAAGTTGTAGCTAACGCTGTCTGAAGTTTCTCAAGCCTGGCTAACACTAGTTCTGAGTTGTTTATGCATTTAAAAAGGATGCTATGTTTTTGGCAACAAGACGGTTACTAAGGTAATATAAGATACTGTGCTTTATATCTCCACGGAAACACACTCTGTCTCTCTGAAAATTAGCAGAAGACCGTCTGCTGGCAATATGGTAAACTGACTGGAAGCACACCCTGCTCGACCTTGTGTTACTATGTAAGAGGTCAGTGTTACATTTAACCCTGCGTTAAAAGGTTCCCTGTGCACTGCTACATTCTTAGTGATTTCTTCCTATGGCTTTGTATTTTTTTTTCTCAAAAAAGTCAAAATGTAAAGTTAATGTAATGTAAATTTAATGACCAATTAATGTATATTTAATGCCAAGTCCAAAGTTAGTTGTTCATTCTGTAAATGAGTTGTCCATTGTCGTGGGATATTAGCACGAGAGGTCACCGCATGGTGGGGAGGCCCTGGGAGAGGGAACCTGCAGGGGAAACGCTAACTCGAATGAGGATGAATTTTTAGTAACAGCGTAACAGCGTAGATCGAAGGCAGATGGTCACACATCCACAGGGGCAGCAAGTATGTAAAGACGCAGACCAGAGTGAGAATGATTTTAATCAACCTGAAGCAGCAAAGGTCCTCCAATGAAGCCAGAACAGGAGGGCTATTTTCAATTCACTCAATTCATTGTGTAGAAGTAAAGAGAAAAGATTTGGATTGTAAGTTAAGTAAGTTGTGATAATAATGCAACGTTTTGGCTTTACAAGATCATGAACTAGATTTTAGAATCTTTTAAAGTGAAATGATAATATTGTGAAGATTTGTTTTGTTTTATTTAGCCTGTCTGAAGCTTGTTAGAAACGTCATAGGAATCCTTTCATGTGTAGAAGTTCCATGTTTTTGGCACATAGTTCCATGTTTTTGATGCAGAGTTGTTTTCTTTAAAGTGGATTTGACTTGGGTTTCATTGGGTTCTTGAGCAAGTGCTTTAACCGGCAATTGCTGTACGGACACCCTACTCTCTGATCCTTTGGACAAAAGTGTCTGCAAAATAACTAAGTATAATAAATGCAATAAAATTAACATGTCAGAGGGTAAGGCATTGGAGAACGTCGATGGATACACAATGTGGGGGATCTGTAATGGTGGGAGTCATTGGGACCCAGTGGTCTCTCTGTATGCTTATGTAACTGCCAAGGAATGGGAGGCCATTCTGCAGGAGCTGGTGCACCTTGTGCTGCAGACAGTGTTCCCACATGATGCTCCTGTATTCCTGCATGATGCTGCCTCCACACACACTGCGAAGCGACTTCACGGGCTGCTGCTTCGTGACCATGAAGGAGTCGCATGCCTCCCAAGGTATCTCTCATCCCCAGCTCATTGAACCTGTATAGGAGGTTCTGGACTGCGGAATATGCCACTACAGACAGGACCCATAAAAGGAACATCATGAAAGGATGAAGTTGTTCTGAAGTCTGTGGGAGGTCCATCTGCTTATTAGGTCCTTGATATTATCAAATTATTTGCCCATTGTATTACTTTATCTCCCCCTGTGTGTCTCAGTGTACATATATTTAACACACAGACATATATGTGTGTGTGTGTGTGTGTGTGTGTGTAATATATAAAATATAATATAATATAATATTTATGCATCACAACAGTGACTCCCCGTAGGGTCCAGTCCCTGCTCTCAGACTGCATTATCTTGGAACTGGGTCGCAACACAAAATTCCAGATAATAACCCGCCCGGCCGTATTGACACAGTACGTAAGGAAGCGAGAGATTTCCTAGGGGAGCTTATTGTTCAGCTGCTTATGAGGGAAAAGATGCAGCTATTGCTGCAGCAGTATTGCAGTATTGCGGTGTTGCGGTGTTGTCTGGCTGGGTTGTTGAATGTATATCATTAGCCCTGCTTTGTCACAAGCCCAAATAGCTTTCTGGGGTGGCTTGTATAAAAGAATGCACTGGAGACGTCAAACTGCATCCAGAAAAATCAAAAGAGATCGGCAGAGATTTGAATGCCACACGGAAATTGTAAATTTTAAAGGAATAATTGCAGAAATGTCAAGTCACACATTTTTTGCTAAAAAAAATACCTCTGTACGCCTGTTGACGGCAAATTATTTGGGGTCTTTATGGTAAAAATGTCTGACAAAGGACATTTAAGAACTGTGAAATTACGTGAATGACCAATGGGGCAGTGTGTGGCTCAGCAGGTTAGGATGCTGTGTCAATCGTCAGAAGATCGCTGGTTCAAATCCCAGGGCCAGCAGAGTGATTTCACCATTGGGCTCTTGAGCCAGACCCTTAACCCCCAATTGCTTCAAGAAATGTCTGACCCTACTTTATCAAATGTATTTAGTTTTGGATAAAAGAATCTACTAAGTAAAGAAAATGTAAAATTAGTGTAATAAATTGTGAGAAATAAGTATATAGAATCAATTATACAACTTGAACACTAATTTTCTTTTGAATGTTTCTCAGAGTGCTATAATCTCTCAGAAAATTCCCTGTTCATTGCATTTTATTTTCATCATGTTTCCAATCTGCTAAGAAATTTCCCACATGTGTTTTCTCGCGAGTCCTTTGTCATTTCCACCTCGGATGATTTCTCCATTCTGTGCGGAAGCCAATGTAATGTTTTAATCTGCCATTTTGGGGGAAAAAGACAGACAGTTAGCAATTTGAAGAAATCTACCATCAGCCCAGGATAATATTTCCATCCCTTCCACCCTTGTCGCTGAGCGCTCGCCTCATCCAAGTAAAAAAAAATGTGACAGAATAAATACGGAGGCTGTGTCAGCGGAGAACAAGTGGCGTGAATCCAGGTGGGGTGGGGGGCACGGGGGGGGATAAATGTCATCCGCATTTACATTCCTCTAATTGATGGCCCCCGTTATCCCGAGCGACTGACAGGGACGTTAATGCAAATGTTGTGCAGTTGGCCCTGGCGAGGAAAATCTGTTTGATTGAAGCTGGTCTGGGACGGAAGCATTTTGTTCACTGTCCCTAATTATGAATTTGAATTTGACTGTTGCGATAGGGAGCACATATTGGATGGAATTTCCTGTGTTGGTTTTACTTTGCTGCACACATACCTATTACTGCTTGGGTCTAAGTGTCTCATTTTTTATTTCTTAGAGACAGGCTCTCAGTTCAGTTAGTTTAAGAGGTTATACAAATCTTTGTAACTTTTTCCAAATGTATGCAAGGATACTAATGATTTGTGGGCTTTCTTAACACGGTTTTTCTCAACCCAGTCCTCAGGCATCCCTAGACAGTCCATATTTTAGCTCTGTCCCAGCTCCATGCACACCTGAACTAAACAATCAAGAATGAACCAAGCAATCAAAACAAACTGAACAATCAACAAAGAACAAACCAATCAAAAACAAATGAAGCAATTGAGAACAAACGAAGCAATCGTGAACAAACGAAGCAATTGTGAACACCAAATAACTGCTACAGCTGCGGTGGGAGCTTACAAGGAGCCATAATGTGGACTGTCTCAGGATCCCTGAGGACAGGGCTGAGAGACACTGACTTATTTTGGGTTATGTACAGAGGTGGACATTTCAGGTCCAGAAAGTAAAAATCCAAACCAGGATTTTATTTCAACCAACCAGTTGAGTACTATATGACTACTACTCTTTATACTTAACTGGTTGGTTGAAATAAAATCCTGGTTTGGATTTTTACTTTCTGGACCTGAAATGTCCACCTCTGGTTATGTATAACCCAATCACCTCTTTGTGATGATCTCTGGAGTCTTCCAAGCACTGTCCCATACTCTGCTTACCATGATGTTTGTCTCCCAAGGTGATGGACCATGAGGCTATGCCATAGCAACCACCCTTTGTCCCTGCGCCCTCTGCTGGACCTCCCAGGCATCCAATGGTGGCCCTTCAGTAGGCGGGGCACCGTGCCCTTACCCTCTCACAGACTCCCCCACAGACATGTGACCACTGAGAGCCCCGCCTCTCAGCCAGGTGGGCAGGGCTTGGTGGAGGTGCTCGGGCAGAGCTACCCCCGTGATGACTACACCAACGTGACGGCCAAGATCCTCTCTAAGGTTGGCCGCAACCTGCACAACCAGGCGTACCACCCGCTGTGGCTCATCAAAGAGCGCATCAAGGCGTACTTCTATGAGTCCTACACAGGTCGTTGGGGCAAGCGCCTTTTCTCCGTCTACGACAACCTGAGCCCAGTGGTGACGGTGGAGCAGAACTTCGACAGCCTCCTGACTCCCCTGGACCACGCCAGCCGCAACAAAGGGGACAACTACTACCTGAACCGTGGCGTGATGCTGCGGGCGCACACCTCCGCCCACCAGCGTGACCTGGTGCGCTGCGGCCTTGATGCCTTCCTGGTGGCCGGGGATGTGTACCGAAGGGATGAGATCGATGCCACTCACTACCCTGTCTTCCACCAGATGGAGGGCGTCCGCCTTTTCTCCGAACACGAAGTGAGGATGCCTCTGATTTTTCAAAAGCTTAATATGATTAGTTAATTGATAATTAGTTCATTGATGATTAGTTGACTGATGATTGTACCATGGCACTGTTAAATTATAAAATCTGAAGGCTGATTAACACATAGTGCTGGTCAAGCGAATCAAAGTAGTAAATAAATGTGCGATTATAATGTGTAATTCTTACTAACGTTAGTTAAGGCAAACTATAAAATCGCTATCAATCAGTGACTAAATATCAAAATGATTTACTGATGTAATGCACTTGCTGTCCAGTCATACTTTACAGTCGAATTACATCATTACTTTAGTTTGTGTGTTTAATAAATAAATAGATAAATAATCACACACTCACAGTTTTTTGCCTCCACAGCTTTGCGTTAAAAACATATAATGCATATAGAGCCTGGAGTTCATTGGCACCTGCTTTTGTGTCAGGCAGTTCATTGTTTCTGAAACTGTGCATTAACTCTTATTTACTTCACTTAGTGCATTAACCCTTAACCCTTCTGTCTGCTGTATTGTAAATGTGCAGTATATTTGCAATATGCGCAAACAATGTTTGCCCCTTCTCTGGTCTTTCACTCTTGTTGGGTTCTCTCCATGTATGAGTCCTGAAATTCATTTTACACCGTGACCCCCCCCACCCCCCATGCATTGTGTGAATTACTTTATTGGTCGTACATTGTCCTCCCAGTGTTTGTCTAATGGCTTTGTATTCTTTTATGCATTCCCTGTTTCATGTGTCATGTTAATTAATCTCAGCTCTCTACCTTCTGTCCCAGCTATTTGCGTCCGTGAAGCATGGGGAGGACCTGCGTTTGTTTGAGCTTGGCGGCCGGCGCACTGCGGAGAAGCAGGAGATGCACACGCTGGAGGCCGTCAAGCTGGTGGAGTTCAACCTGAAGCAGGCACTTACCCGCCTCATCAGGCACCTTTTTGGGGAAGGTGGGAGCTTTGGGCGGAGCTTGAGGGGGTTGGGGGCGTGGCCTGGCAGTTTGGGGGTGGGGCATTAGGTAGGGCAGGGCTGGGATCCTGCCCTGTGACATCATTACCATCGCATGGCTGGTTGGTGGAGTAGCTGCAAAATCAGAGAATAAAAACGCCGATTGGGTTTAACCATGGTTCCTGGGAATACCGTTTGACTGATAAATAGTTTTGCTTTCAGGATGTGGTCACATTCAAATCATGACGACAAGTAAGAGGAGTAGAAGTTACCCTTCTCCTTCTCCACAGTTAGCTCCTGATGACCCAGTTAACGAAGCATCACTAAAAAATGTGCATTGCCATTAGATCTCAGGATTTTTAGATATACAAGTAAAGACAATGGAATAGTCCAACATGCATTAAGGGTCAGACCTCCTGGGTTTTTCCACATACAAGAACAATTTGAACATCTACTTCCCAGTCCCACTATCTGTCTCAGACCCTCCTTTTCCCATGAAGGCATCTCACCAGCTTCTCACCAGTTTAGGATATAACACCAGCACACTCGTTCCTGGAAATATTTTCCTTGCTAATGTTATTGGTACCAAATTCCCATTATTCCTCATTATTTGTCGCCGTGATATTTATTTCTCATTCATTTATGCTATTTATGTGTAACTCTGCTGCTGCCATCATTGAGTATATTCTAAACCAGGGGTGGCCAATCTTATCCGCAAAGGGCCGGTGTGTATGCAGGTTTTTGGGATAACCTGTAGGTCAGCTGTTAAAACCCAGGTGTGAGGACTCTTCATCCAATCAGTCCTCTAATTAGTAATCTAATTAGGGAGTTGCAGCGAAAACCCGCATACACACCGGCCCTTTGCGGATAAGATTGGCCACCCCTGTTCTAAACATTCCAACGTGTTCAACGTACACATGTCCTGTCTGTCTCTGCACTTTGTGCACAGATGGAGCACCGTGGTCTGGGGAACGTTATTTAGTGCCAGTAAAAATGACTGCTGTGACAATAAGGCCCCACTTGACTTGACGTGACTTTTTGCGTTGCCAGTTAGCGTCACGGGGTTATTTGCACGGTGCGGGCTGTCCTAACGCTGCTGTGCTCTTCCCCGGCAGACTTGGAGGTCCGCTGGGTCGATTGCTCCTTCCCCTTCACTCACCCCTCATTTGAGATGGAGGTGAACTTCCAGGGCCGATGGCTAGAGGTTCTGGGCTGCGGGGTGATGGAACAACGGCTGGTCCAATCAGGTACAACCAGACGTGCTTTTGAAGAAACTATCTTTCCATTTGTGGGAGATTGAATGAATGAATGTTTATACAGCACTTTTCAAGACAACCAATGCACTTCACTGAAGCATTGGGGAGCCACTTCAACCACCAAATCTGTGTAGCACCCATCTGGATGATGTGATGGCAGCCATTCTTCACCAGTACACTCACCACACAGTGGTGAAGGGGCAAGAGAGGATTCACTAATTATATATAGGGGATGATTAGTAGGCCAGATTCGAAAGGGCCACAGTGGGCAATTTCATCCAAAGACATGGGGGTACCACCCCTACTCTTTCCATGGATGCCCAAGGATCTTTTATGACCTCAGAGAGTCAGGACCTTGGTTTTACTTCTCATGCGAAGAACGGCACCATTCTTTCAGCACAGTGCACTGCACTGGGGGATTGGGATCCACACAGACCACAGGATGGGCTCCCCTGTTGGCAAACCAACACCAGTTGGCCAAATGAAACTGGTCTCTAGCCCGTTTTAATTGGTCCAGTGATGAAATCACCACCCCCTACGGCTGGGCAGAGCCATCCAATCACAGAAATTTGTTTGATCATTGGAATTTCGAAAGAATCAATGGAATTATCTTCGAACTTTTACCCATCCTACATCTTAGAATGGGAGCCAGGCCTGCTCGCTCACGATCAGGCAAACATTTCATTCACCAAGACCCAGGTTGCCTTTGGGCTTAAGAATCACACTTCCTACCTCTGACAGTAGATGGCACTGTTGCGCAGTCCCAAGAGAGGAGCTGTGCCACTGTCGAGAGGCTGTCTCACCACAGAAGGACAGGTCGGACCTGACACTGACATCCCAGAGAATCTGAGGCCTCAAAGATACCAAAACTGCTTCGTTGTGTATCGAGGTCTCAGCCGCTGTGCATGATTTTAAACAACAATTAGCCGACATTCTATATAGCAGAGATAAACTGATGGTATATTGTGAAGTAGTAACAGGAAAGCAAAGTTGACCAAAGAAAGACAGAATCAAAACCAAAGATCAAAGGAAGACAGTTGGGGGATTATGAAGTTAGCGGAACCTGACTGTATGCCTGTCTTGTTCCCAGTCTACTCGGATCCATTTCAGGTTCCTTAACTGGGGCAGCATTGTCTTGCATCCCTGCACACAAGACCCCGTTGCAACCTTTTTGTAGGAACAACTGAAAAATATATATAAAAAACAAGTTTCAGAAGGCTAGTGAAGTTAACATTGTTTTTAATGTCATGTAGTTCTTCACTAGTAGGTTTGACTTTGTGTTGCTGTCTTGCAGTGTCTTTTTGATATTGCTTTTAGACGTCTGTTAACCTAGAGCAAGGTTTGATTTTGGGTGATGAAAAACTTATACTTGTATCCAGACAAAAACTTATATAAGTATAACTCCTGTCCAGACAGACCTTTTGAGACTTCTTAATACAGTCAGTGTCATTTAAGGTTGGTATGAGGTCAAAACAGCTGCATGAAGGGTTACCGTGACGAGGAGAAGTCGGAATTCTCGCCAGCAGCAAGAGCATTCAGTAAACATGTCTATTCAGCCAGCAGACCTGTGCAGACAATATTCCATTTCAACTTCTGTTCCTAGACACAATTAAGAATGTATCGCTTTTAGCTGAAGTGCTTATGAGGAGGATAGGATTCAGTTCGGTGGCCGGTTAGATTATCTAGCCTTTGATAAGAATTTCACCCCCCAATCCTGGTTCAGCCAAAAGCTCTGCTGTGAGAACCTCTGTGTTTTGGGACAAATCAGCACCTGGGTGCAAAGGAACCACTGGGAAGGAGCAACCTGGCCTAGTGTTGTGTTTACTAAACATTTTATTTGTTTAGGTTTAAAGCTCTTTATATTTGTTGACATAACGTGTAGGATGTGGGGGGGGGGACAGTCTGGTGATAAGCCAATTCAGCCATACCTGCCTAATTACCATCCATCCATCTTCCATCTGCATCGGGGTGGGGGCTTGGCGCTGGAGCCTATCCCAGGCAGCATAGGGCAGAAGGCAGGATGGGAGCCAACCAATCACAGGTCACAAGTGCACAGTCTTACTATGGCCAGTTTGAAGAAACCAGTCCAGCTAGCTTCATGGTTTTGGACTGCAGGGGGAAACCTGTGTACACATGGCGAGATCACAAAATCCAAGCGGGGGTAGGGGTCGCGTCCCCCAGCCCTGGAGGGGTGAGGTAGCAGTGCTCTCTCTTGACACTGTGTGTTACTCTTGCCTAATTGCCAGAGATATAAGATTTATTCTGTGCAGCACAGGGGATGTTCAGAGGGACACAAAATGATCATGGGGCCGGGGTGCGACTGAGGTCTGAGGGACAACCGGCAGAACAAGCCTTATGTCACGAAGCGACACTGTTGTTCCCTTGTCATTCCTCTCCCCTTATTTGTAAAACCTGTAGCCTCCCCAATTTGGTTTTTTAACCCTGACTGTAGCAGCTGTTACCGAATGCATTTGCGTTTCTTTATTTAACAGACACCTTTATCCAAAGCAATGCAGAATTGAGAAAGCAGGGGGAGGCAGGGGGGAGGGGTAGTGGGTTAGGGCCCTGCTCAGCGGTCCAGCAGTGACATCACTCTGCCAGCTGTGGGACCCAGGCCCCATTCGCCCACAGGCAGGATGCCCTAACCCACTGAGCCACACACATTCAAACATACAGACACTTGGATTATTTTTCCTGTCCACCCCCTCCCCCTTCCCCCCCCATGTTTCCTGTGCTTTATAATGCCAGTAGGCTAAACCACCTGAGCTGTTTACTCCCCCCGTCCATCGTCAGAAAGCCATTCTGTCTCCCCGGCGTCCGTGCCGTTGCTGATTGAAACACGTCCTCCAGTACGGCTGGAGGCTTTCAGCTGTAAGCCAGATGCTCTCACATCCAGTCACGCGTCAGGCCCCTGCAAACGCCTGCATTAGAACGACTCGCGCCTTTGACACCTCAGAAATCCTAAATAATTCAGTGTGGTTGAGTGTCACCTCCTGATCCTTCGGATGTTTAGTAGTACTGCATCCTCTATACTTTGGATGTGATCCTCCCTTGACAGGCTGCATAGGTGAGCTCAGATTTCACATGTTGTCTGAAGTATAGTTCATCTTGCTTTCTCGACCTCAGAGATGTAGGAATGATATGTATATATGTTTGTCGTTGGAGGCGTTGAATGTAACTGCAACAGAAATATAAAATGAGTTCGAAATGCATATTAAAAGAATAAAACATTAAATAAGTGCTGGATGGATTCATGGATGAAAATATTTCACTTAATCACTTGAAGTCTGCCTTCAATTGCCCATCACCTTCTGTTGATTTAATTGATGTTGTGGACAGAACATTCTCGAAACAGAAGGTAAGTTTCGATACTACTGTGATGTCAGATATGTTCTGACGTTGGTCTCCTGCTTTTAATGTCCGCTTGTCTGTGTCCTTCTGGCCAATGACAGTGGTGCTGGACTTTCATGTTTTATCTCACGGTTCTGAAGGATCGGCCTGTCTCTGTCTTCTCCTCTGTTCCTTTTTTCTTTCATCCTTTGTGTTTTTGTGTCACTCTGTCTGCAGAGGTTTGCAGTTGATCACTGGGCCGCTGTTGCCAGGGCAACCCTTTTTACACCCCACTCCCAGCTCCACTCCACTCCCCCCAAACAAAAAACACATGCAAACATACACATACCCTATTTTATTTTTTTTTGTTTTGGCAAGAAGGCCAAATTTGAAGTGAGATGTGGCTCTGTGGCTGCGGGGTGTCAGATGGGGGTGCCCGGGGGGGGGGGGGGGGGGGGGGGGGAGGAGCTGATTTGTATGTCCCCAAGCGTGACTGCCCCATCTGAAGTGTGCTGAAGGCTGGGCTGGTGCGGATTAATTCGGCAGACGGTGGGGGCTTCCCATTAGCAGTGCTGGTTTGCTGTGTTATTCATTAGGACCCAATGTATTATGCCAGCCCTGATCAATTCTTCTGGGATGGGGGGGGGATGCTCAGAAACATATGGGACCCCACGTTAATGACAGCACGAGCCTCTGGAATAGGGTGTCACAGCTGGATGGACGGGATGCATCCGTGGGGGGGGGGGGGCAACGTAATTAAAGCCATGTTTGGGGACAATTACACAGCCCTTGAACTGGGAGCCTCGGGGTATGGGGTGAGTGTAGGGGGAGGGACACCATCTGTGACCGGTTCAGGTGGCACTTCTGTTCCCGGTTCTGAGTTAATCATGTTCCTGTCGAATCCTTCCTTCGTCCTAATGCATTATTCCATAATTTGGGCTTCATACGTGTGAAGCTGTCTGACGTGTGTTTCCGTCTATTCTGCAGTTTCCCATCTCAGTCATCATGGTTTTGGTTTTCATTTAAAAAAATAAAAATAAAAAATTGACAGGCCTCAAATTCCGTAATTAATGTGGTCCCCCAATTATAGCAGGGCGTGTCATGTGTGCATGTGTCTGTGACTAATCAAACTTGTTCCCCCACATGTCCTTCTAAAAAGAACCCACCCCCCCAATCCACACACACCCCTCCCCAAATTTACACTTACTGCACAAACCTTCCCCCGCTGGACCCATTGTTTGTGGTCATGATGGTCACAGTGGAGGCAATCACCAGTGGCACAATTCTACCCCCCCCCCCCCCCCCCCCCCCACCATACACACACACACACACACATTTGTTGAACATTCACACATAGGCTGCATGCTTTATTATAAATATATCAGCCTGTAATGTCCCATAAGCAGCTATTTTCAGGTTTTCATCTAATACACATTATATGCAAAAAAGAGAGCTTGTAAACATCAGTGCAAAACAGTACTAAACCGAATATATGGTCCAATTAAAAATTAATAAAAAATTTTAGTTCAGCATTTTCAGATATTAACCAGGGTTTGAAGGGATTTGTAAATATATGCATGTTAAATGGAAGGATTTAGCCATAAAATGTGGCTGCAGGTGATGGCTAATGATTTGTCGCTGTGTGATTCCTGCCTCGTGTA